CCCGGGATGCGAAAACCAGTGTATTGAAGAACTTACATGTATTGCAGAACAGTTACAACAGCCTGGCAGGGAGGATCCCCATCCAGGAACTCACAGTCAATGCAGTGGGGAGTCAGTGGTAGTAAGCCCATGCTGAAGGCAGCGCCAGCTGAGGGAGGTGGAGTGCAGCGTGGCTGGTCCAACTCAAGAGGAAGCCTGCAGAAGTGTAGATGTAGGCCCTACTTTTTCCCTATTTTTCCAGAACCTTTTCATACCACTAGTGCTGTCCCTGACAGGCAGATGAGCTTTCCCTACTCTAGCCACTTCATAAATTGGTGCCAAATCCTGGGGACAGGGACTTAAGAAGACTCTGCTTGATCAAAGACAGTCACCAGGGTCACCTGGATACAGCATAGCCAACCAGAACACTGATCCAGAGGACTTCTGAAACCATAGAGACTTCCTCTCCAGCTGCAGTACTTCTTCTTTAGCACACAGGGGCGGACTGACCATTTGAGCTCTCGGGCACTGCCTGAGGGCCCGGGGTCAATAGGGGGCCCCATGAAATGCTCCTGGTACCTTTTTTATAGGATTTTTTGGGTGTGCTTTGAGTGTGGGCAAGGACACGGGGGCCCCATGATCCCCTATTGCCCGGGGCCCCATGTGTTGTCAGTCCGCCCTGTTAGCATGCCATCTACAGTAGTGAAAACAGATTGTACCTGCCTAAATGTATGTATAACCTCAGCTTTTTTTTTTCCGCATTTTGGATAGGATAGGGAAGGGTTAAAAGCCCTGTTAGGTTATATTTTGTGAACTGTTGGGGAGATTTCCCTTCGCAATCCATCCCAGAGATGCACCAGGAAGTTTGACAAATTCTACCAAAGTGAGGGGAAATGCCCTCTCAGTCAGTTGTCCCTGGAACAGGTGTCCCCAGAGGAATATTCATCTCACCTCTTGTTCTGGGGACAACCCTAAATTTTAGAATTTCAGTGACAATGGCTATCAGTACAAACAGAAGTCCATGTCACCTACGGAGACATGGACAGCAAATACCTTCCCCACTCCAAAAGTGGGAAAAAAAGTTTGGCCTTTACAAGCATTTTACTTTTTAAATTTTTACAAAATTGGCTATTAATGTGGACTGTTGGACAAAAGTTGGCAGTTTGCAGAGCTCTATGTATTTTGAAAACATCAACAAGCTGCTGCCCACTGCCACAGGTTCCCTAGACATGAAGAAGGCCATCCTAGCTCCTCAGTCAGCTGTACACAAGCTGCATTTCTCGAAATAACAGCAAATAAACACCTTTCTTGTCTCTGGAGCAATAGGTTAACTTGTTAGAAAGCTGCCGCCAGGAGTACGGATTGTAGAATTTCATCATCGCAAAACACATTGTTCCAACTCAGAAATTATACAGTCCAAAATCATCATCATGTATTTCCATCAGGATGAAATATCGGGAGCCGCGCTTAGTGCGAGCTTTTATTAATGATGTGCTGTCAGACGGTGGATGCTCTGCATATTTGCATATTAAACAGCTGAGTGAAGAAACATTCCTTTTATTGCTGCGGGAAATAAATCAGTTTTTAAAGCAAGTTTTCATCATTTATACTCCTTTCAGCTAAGTCTTCTTTTATTGAAATAAATTGTTGAAGTGCTTTAATCATTCCTTGAATACTGATGAAATTTACCTTGATAGGGATTGCAAGAATGCCTATGTATGCGTGTCAGTATCTATATAATACAAAAGTGACCTGAGTGTATGTAAGCTATCCTTTAAAATATACAATACGCTTGTATTTGGTAAATAGTGATGTCATCACTTGTGTTTGGAGGGTATTGATTGCCTTTCCAGACAGCAAGTGAAAGTTTCTAATGCTAAAATCTGAGTTTATTTATTTTTTGTTTTTCTGTAATCTACTCCATCTACAGCACACACAGACCACCTTACAGGGGCAGTAGGAGTTTACTTTCTAAACATTTTCAACACAGAGGAACCCTTAAAATAACTTTCCAGTCACAGTGAACCCCTGCTAAAAAATGACTATATCTACAACTCAATGATATGTTATTGTGATGGTCAGTGGGAAGTTGTGGACATTGGGAAGAATTACCCCATTAGAGATGGCTAAAAAAATTAATGGTGGGCAGAACAGAGTCTAAATGGTTAGCACTTCCGCCTGGCAGTACTAGGGTTGTTGGTTTAAATCCCAACCATGGCACCACCTGCCTGGAGTTTGCATGTGCTCCCTGTGCCTGCGTAGGTTTCCTCTCATACTCCAAAGACATGCATGGATCCTGTCTGTATTGGCCCTAGTACGTGTATTTATGAATGTAAGTTAGGGACCTTAGATCATAAGCTCCTTGAAGGTTAGGGATTGATGTGAATGTACAATATATATGTAAATTGACATACCTGTAATAAATAAATAAATAATGGAGTCAGTGGGAACTTATCTGAGAGGCAGAAATTGTGCATTGCTCAAGGAAACCCTAGAAACCTCTGGAGGAACGCTGGTTGAGAAACCTATAAAGCATATGCTGGATAACACCCTCTGTTGTCTGCTTCATGCTTGACCAGTCATGTTTAACCACTTGAGCTCCAGAAGGTTTTACCCCCTTCATGACCAGGCCATGTTTTGCTATTTAGCACTGCACTGCTCTATCTGGTAATTTTGCAGGCGTACAATGTACCCTAATTAAATTTATATAATTTTTTTCAAACAAATGGTGGTATTTGATCACTATCAGGTTTTTTATTTATTATATAAATGAAAAAAACTGAACATTTGAAAAAAAAACTATGTTTTTTAATGTTTGCTATAAAACATATCCATTAAAAAAACTTATAAACACATTTCTTCATAAATTTAGGCCAAAATGTGTTCTGCTACATGTCCCAATAAGTGTTTATTAACTGGTTTGTGTGAAAGTTGAAGCATCTGTAAACTATGGTATGTGTACTGGAATTTTTATTTTTTTATACTAGTAATGGTGGTGATCAACGACTTAGATTACGACTGTGATAGTGCGGTGGGCTATCTGACACTATCTGACACTGGGTGGGAACTGACTAACTGACACTGACATCACCAGTGACACTACCACAGTGATCAACACAATCACTGTACTAATAAAACTGGCTGGGAAGGGGTTAACATCTCAGGGTAATGTGTGCTGCTTTTTCTAAAAATCTTTTTGTTTTTTCTCCCTGCTTTTCATAGAGAAGAAACAAAGAAACCGTTCTCTCTGTACAGAGTCCTCATTGACAGGGACTTGCTGACAAAATGTGATTGTACACAATGGGAGTCGGTGGAGGGCCCTGAACCAGGAAAAAAAAGACAGCGACGTACAGATATGTCGTTGTTGTGCCTGTAGGAGCCACCCATCCACAGTACAATACGGGCGGTCCTAAAGTGGTTAACCTGTTGCTGCCCGTGTAACACATATGTGCGGCAGGAAGAGGGTGGGCTTTAACGCTGGGTGGTCAGTGTCTCTGTGCTTCTCTCTCTGTGCTGAGAGCGCACTCACTGTATGCTCCCAGTACAGAGACTGAGCTGTGAAAGACAGCTCTCGGTCCCAACCAACGGTTGGTAGTTGTCAGGACCGGCTCTCGATCACGTGACCACTGTGACAACCAGTCACACTGGTCACATGACTGCCGATCTTGTCGGACATTTAGAAGATTTGAAAGAAATGTTTGGGCAGGAAGAGGTTACATTTCGAGGTAAAGTAATTCTATTAGCTGCTGTAGGAAGCATCTTAGTACTGGATGTATGAGGCAGTGGAGATGGGGTTCGAGAATCACAAGCAGGGGTCATGGACAGATGGCACTCGGAAACCAGGATTGCTCACAGGTGATAGTAGCTTTTCAATGTTGGGCAGGCAGCTCTCATGTTCACAAAGGTTTCCAAAGCCACTTCAGGGTAGAATCAGAATGATAACAATAAAACAGGAGCTCCACACTAAGTGGTTATAATTGCTTTATTCCATTAAAATTGTATTAGCAAGATTTGTAGAAGCAGCAAACATGTTTCATGAGCCCAGAATAAAACCCTTCATGAAGGCTTAAGTTAAAGTGATTGTAAACCCTTACAAATACCCAGTGAAGTGACTGCCCTCAGGTGACATGCAGAGATTTAACAAATCCTCCTGCATAAGTTGTATCTGTTTATTTGCCATCTTCTCTTCTCTACATCCATTTAAATCCAGAATTTATAAAGCTTGTCTGAGCTTTCAGAAAACAGGGAGCAGAAAGCTGAAATTGCGCACTGCAGAGCTCAGCGAGGAAAGCTCTGAGACCCAATTGGAGGAAAAAGGGGAACACCCCCCTCCACACACCTCACAGGAACAGAGCTGAGGCTGTCAATCACAGGTTGTGTACTGGAGCTCCCTCCTCTTTTTACTTCTTGGTGTCACACAAATTTGTCAGAAGGGATTCATGCTGTCAGCAGCTAATCAGCCAGTTTGTATGCGACTTTAGCACAGAGTGTTGCTGCATCCAGAGGAGGCATTTAGCAAACTAACCTCGCCCCATTGCCCAAGGAAATGTAGCCTAAAAAGAAGAGTACTTTATCATCTGTACATAAAACTTTTACATTTGAATTCCTTTGTGATTTTAGTGTGAAATAAAAAAAATGCTTAATAAACATATTTTAGTGCTTTTGGGCTCAAATGTAGAATATAATTTGTATTAGCCCTAATTAGTTTTTTAATTGTACAATATGTAGTTTAAATGTTAGTTATTTCTTATTAATTGTATTAACTCCTTTAGTCACTTCAATTTCTTTTTCTTTGTATACAAGGATTTTTTAATTTGTGATAGTTTTTTTTTTGTTGTGCTAAATTTAAAATCTTGGGGGAGAAGCACTCTAACCTTGTCAGGTTATATATATATATATATATATATATATATATACACACACACACACTATATTGCCAAAAGTATTGGGACACCCCTCCAAATCATTGGATTCCGGTGTTCCAATCACATCCATGGCCCCAGGTGTATACAATCAAGCACCTAGGCATGCAGACTGCTTCTACAAACATTTGCAAAAGAATGGGACGCTCTCAGGAACTCAGTGACTTCAAGCGTGGTCCCGTGATAGGTTGCCACCTGTGCAATAAGTCCATTCGTGAAATTTCCTTCCTACTAAATATTCCACAGTCAGCTGTTAGTGGGATTATAACAAAGTGGAAGCAACTGGGAACAACCAGAAGTCGCCAACTGTCTGCAGAGTAAATAGCTAAAGACTTTCAAACTTCATGTGGCCTTCAGACTAGCACAACAGTGCATAGAGAGCTTCATGGAATGGGTTTCCATGGCTGAGCAGCTGCATCCAAGCCTTACATCACCAAGTGCAATGCAAAGCGTTGGATGAAGTGGTGTAAAGCACGCCACTACTGGATGGACTCTAGAGCAGTGGAGACGTGTTATCTGGAGTGACGAATCACGCTTCTCTGTCTGGCAATCCGATGGACGTGTCTGGGTTTGGCTCTTACCAGGAGAACGGGACTTGCCGGACTGCATTGTGCTAAGTGTAATTTTTGTGGAGGGTGGATTATGGTGTGGGGTTGCTTTTCAGGGGTTGGGCTTGGCCCTTTAGTTCCAACGAAGGGAACTCTTAAGGCGTCAGCATGCCAAGACATTTTGGACAATTTCATGCTCTCAACTTTGTGGGAACAGTTTAGAGATGGCCCCTTCCTGTTCCAAAATGACTGCAGACCAGTGCATGAAGCAAGGTCCATAAAGACATAGATGAGCAAGTTTGGGGTGGAGGAACTTGACTGGCCTGCACAGAGTCCTGACCTCAACACGATATAACACCTTGGATGAATAAGAGCGGAGACTGTGAGCCAGGCCTTCTCATCTGACATCAGTGCCTGACCTTTACAAATGCGCTTTTGGAAGAATGGTCAAACATTCCCATAGACACACTCCTAAACCTTGTGGACAGTCTTCCCAAAAGAGTTGAAGATATTATAGCTGCAAAGGGTGGGCCAACATATTATTGAACCCTACGGACTAAGACTGGGATGCCATTAAAGTTCATGTGTGTGTAAAGACAGGCGTCCCAATACTTTTGACAACATAGTGTATATACAGGGGTTAGACAAAAAAATGGAAACATTACATGATTTGCAGGTGTGAAAATGACATATTTTGCATTGAAAGTGGAAGTGATGTAATACGCTTTTTCTTCTGCTGTGTGATGAGAGACCTAGCTAAAAGGTGGGAAGCCTCACTTTCGTCATTCACTGAGTGTGCTGCTAGCAATACGGAGCCATGTCAGAGCTTACTGAGCTTCAAAGAGGGCAAATTGTTAGTGTCCGCTTAACTGGTGCCTCTGTGACTGAAGTTGCCAACTTATTTGCCGTGTCACGAGGTACAGTATCAAAGGTTATGACGGCATATACATAAAAATGGTCGAGATGGTCAGCTGACCGAAATAGACAAAAGGACATTGCACATGACCGTGACCCGGAATATGAAAACAACTGATGTATGCTTTGTGGCTATGCAGTGTAGTCTCTCGCTTCTTATATAAGTTATGCCTAAATGTTTTGACTTTTGCACTGTCGTGCTAATTCTTCTAAATAAACAATTAAAAAACAAAAAAAGAAAACAACTGCTGCAAAAGTGACTGCAGAGCTCAATCCCAGTCTTCACAAGCAGCTGCTAATTTCGGCTTTTTTAATTAGGCCCCCTTTACACTTCTGATCCTCCTCTCAGAGCAAAGCAGACTTATGACAGTTCCGTGTCTGCTCAGTTTGTGCAGAGTGGACATGGACAGAGCCCACCACGGGCAGTTGGGTGTATATGGACTCCGCTGTCCATTTACACCTGACTGCCCTCTGATCCGATCTGCTTAGATGGAGGAGGATGGATCCCCTTCTTTTTTTTTTAGCAGATCAGATTGGAGATAGGTGGGTGTAAATGGACACAAGTCTGTTTACACCCGCCGGTTCATAGGGCTGAATAAAAGGTCCAATCAGGTCTACCTGAAAAACTGACAGGGGAGCCTGATCGAACCCTTTGTGTGAAAGGGGCCTTAAGCTTTGACAATAAAACCTAGAAGCTGACTGGTTACTATGCACAGGTGCACTACATTCTGTCCGTTTATACTCCGCCTGCACCTGACTGCCCTTCAATCCGATCTGCCAAGATGGAGGGGGACGGATCTCCTTCTGCTTTTAATAAATCTGCCCCATTGTTTCAGAATGATGGATCTATATTGCACAATATGAAATCACATTATTATTTTTAGGGTACCTCCATCTTGCCATGATTAAAAAAATAGTGATCCCCCAGATCCTAGTCTAGATAGCCTAGGTCATATGGTCTGTGACTACCTGCAGAGGTAGTATTATTTGCAATCTGCAATGAGACAACACAATAAAAAGGATGTTCCCGTGCACATAGATTATTACAAAATCTCTATAGGAACAACATGAAGTCACGTGACATGTGACGCAACATTTTGGGGTGGAGCCTAGTGATGTCACTTCTGGTCATGTTCAAACTGGCACAGGTGAGAGCATGTTCCCGTAAAGGGCCAGAACTAATGAAGTAGCTACTAAGGATTGGCAGTGGATAAACAGAATCTGGTTTCTTCCCTAAGCGTGTATGACCTTTCTGTTATTTTTTTTTTTTTTTGGGAGAAAATACTGCACCCGATTTGGAAAATTACTGAAGTTGATATTAGATTAGATCCAGAGACTTGCCTTTTTCACGGTACAGACTTATCAGTTTAATAAATATAAAAAATCTGGTATATGGTATTATTTGATTGCAGCAAAGGGTTTGATACCCAAGTTTTGGCAGAGATCGGAGGTGCCGAAAGTAGAGGATTGGGTTGAATGGGTGAACCAAATATGTAGGATGGAGAAACGTTACCATATGAATGAAGATAAGATGGAGAGATATTATGTAAGATGAAACAGATGGGAAGAATTTAAAAGGTTAAAGTTAAATGAGGAATGTATGGGGGTATAATGTAAAATAATATGAGTATGCCTCTCTCTTCTCTTTGGAGGATGTGAGGTCCCAGATGTGAAGGGGGGGGCGGGAAGGAGAGAGGGGAGGAGGGGGAGGTGGTTGATAGGAGGTATGGGGGGGGGGGTAGGGAAAATAATTGGAATGATATCGGTATTTTAATTGTGTTAACTTTTTTTTAAAAGAATAAGTGTGTATTATTTGTTTGGTTGAAAATCAATAAATATTTAAATTAAAAAAAAAAGTAGAGTACAAAGGACTAGTCACCAGTTGTAGTACGTTGCTATAATAAATATTGATTTAAATTAAAAAAAAAAGACCGTTCTGTTTGGTCAGGGTAGAAGCTGAGTGCATGGTGAACCTACTCGGTGATGGGAAACACCACAATATAGTCGGCACAGTGGTTAACCACTTCCTGACCAGGGCAATTTTCAGCTTTTAGCACTGTCACACTTTGAATGACAATTGCGCTGTCATGCAACACTGTACCCAAATTAATTTTTAACCATTTTTTTGAGACAGATAAAGCTTTATTTTGGTGGTATTTATTCACCGCTGGGATTTTTATTTTTTTTGCTATGTAAATGAAAAAGTCCAAAAAATTTTTTAAAAAGTGTTTTTTTAATAAAATTTTGCAAATAAATAATATTTCATCATAAATCTTTGCCAAAATTTATTCCGTTATCTTTTTAGTAAGAAAAAAAATCCAAATTAGTTTAGAACCAAAAATTATAATTTTTAAACATTTTTTTTACATTTTTATTTTATTTTTTTATATTATTATTTTTTGTTTTTTTTTTTTTTTACATACTGTCACCCTAGCAGTACAGTGTCACCATGGTGACACTGTACTACTTGTGGGGGGTGATGAATTTTTTTTTTTTTCTTTTTTTTTACACTGATTGCTTTTACACCCATATAGGATGTAAAAGCAATCATTTCTCTTTCTCTCTGTGTGCATTCTTGCACTCATTGACAAGTACTGAGTGAGCTGTGATTGGTCACAGCTTGCCACATGGTACAAGGCTTTTGTGAATAGCCTTGTACCATGTGACCTCTGTGATCATTCACAGATTTCACACGTAGTTAGCAATGATGTCAGAAGTGACATCTTGCATACTACTTTGCATGTGATCACTGATTGGCCAAGCAGTGATCACATGATCGGGACCTCGTACAGAGGTCCCGTCCGACGATCGGTGTTTCACTGTGTCCGGAGGACACAGCGGGCACCGGATCGCGGTGCTGCGCGCTCCGAGGGAGCGCGCACAAGCAGGGTGCGGGGAGGCCGTTTATAAACGGCCACCCGACTCTGCATTGCCACCGTCCGGCCGTTTATATGCAACGGCCGGTCGGGAAGTGGTTAATGCCTATATGTTCATCATAATTTGGAGTCACATATAATTTGTTTAATGTAAGTGGATATTGTAACACATTTAATTCTTGGTTATATAAAACGGTGTTGCACTTTTGTTTTTTTTACTTTGCACGGATCTGGAGTTTAAAGAAGCATAATACATGGAAGTAACACGTCACGCATCAGAAATTTTGGAGACACATTTTCCTTATAAAGCGTGTTTATGGCCCATTATTATTTATAGGTCAATGGTCAAGGTGAGCAGGGAGTGGGGCCACAAGTCAAGCACGGTGTTGATTATGGCTGGATGTTAATGCAACATATACTGGATTGGATGTTTATTATCTGTTAAGTTTTTTGGACTGTCACTTTATGCTTTCAAAGCTTATTGTTCTATTTATGATGAAATAGTGCACCATATTTTTTTCACATATGTTTAATACATCAATACACATGCAAATGGCGCTTTGATTTTCTTAAAACCTCACGTTCAAGGCTAATTTGCCTATTTGCCAAAACAATGCAATATCTATGCATAAAAGCAATAAGATTTTCAGTGTACTGTTATAGTAACCTTTGTGTGACCTCACGCTGTCCCCGAATGCAACTAAGGCATCTGGCACCCCTCTGTGACTGAGGCATCTGGCGGCTCTCTTACCCTCCCACCCAGCTGTAGACTGGTTATTGCCGCTATGTATATATGTAGCCTCAGAGATCTAATAATACCACAGTCCCTGCAGATGTACACTTTAATTCTGCTTTAGTTTGGAAGGGGTTAATAGCCCAGCCCTGACATTTAATATCGGCTCACCAGTACGTGAAGGTGTAAATAAGACCCCCCCCCCCTCCAGGGGTCTGAAATGATCTAGTTTTATTTATAAGAATGAAGAGCGAGAGGGTAATAAAACACATCATTGTCTGGCTTCTGTCTGCTGGTGGCAGCCTGAGTCTGATGATTTCCATACAAGAGATTTTACAGTTACGGATGGCATAGCGTATTCATACAGGGCTGCTGAGTCGTCTTGTTGGATTCACTGTAAATTTGCATGTTTTGTGGATTTTTTTTGTTAAAGACTTAGTCCACCCAAATGTGCAATTTCAATTTTTGGTTGATGCTGGAGACTAAAGCTATAGTTCAGCAAGGGATGCAACCCCAAACACACAGACACACACAATCACCCCACCACCTTC